CCAACGTGTGGGGCATAATTGCTTCCATGATCTGATTTTATATTCAGTAATTTCTTCGAAAGTTTAACTGCTATTCAAAATAAGTAAAGTTGCGAGAAGTCCGCTCTCAAATTCCGTAGAAAGTAGCATAATGAAAAAAGGTGGTAGGCTGAAGAAGGTAATAGATATTGATAACATAATTTGTAACAATCCGCCCAATGGTAGTGACATTGTACATCAGGATGTCGAGGACTTGAAGATTTGTCGCGAAAATAATTACGTCATTGGTGACAAACCATTAAATCGAACCGAAAATTATGAAATAATTCGATTGAGAACGGAAATGGAGAAATTAAGAAATGAGCTCGAACGCGATATAAATTAGAACGTTTAACCGTTGAGGTCGAGCAAATGAAGAATCGAAATAAAAGTATAGGGGATGAATCCAGCGGAGTGCGAGCTGTACAGGCCACGTTATTAAGGTGAAGTGAAACACGTTGAGGAACTTGATCGACGTCGATAAAGAAGATTTTTCTAAATGTCTACGTTGCCGACGTTCGTTTTTATATTGACAGCTGTGTCGAATTATATTGGATATTGTACCAAATAGTATCCTCCACCTGCCGTTTCCGTGCAATAAATATCAAGAAATCGAAGTAAAACTCCAGAAATCCTCTGGATTCGTGCTTTCTAGGGCCCTAATTGACTGCAGAGGGATCCCCTGCGCCATCTGTGATTTCCAGGTCAATTAAATTTTCACTCCGAGACCTCGTAATACCATCGTTTTAGCATAGAAGCACATACAACACTTTTTTTGCCTTTATCCCGTTCAAATGCGAGTTTATCCATTACCAGAGTGTTCTAAATTGTCGTAAAATTGTCCTGACCCTTTCGTTTCTGATATCAGAGCCTTCGATAATTGTATATTGATCGAAATATGAGAGCTCGACGCCATTCTGGTTCTGGTCTGGACTGAGTTAAAAAATTTTCTCCAAAAATCCAAATTTTGAAGGTGTCAGGACAATTCTTAGATGATCAGGAGTGATGTGTTAAACTTTCGGACAGTTTGGTCTAATACCCTTAAAAAAAAAGTGTTGTATTCGAATCGACTGATTTGAAGTGGGTTTCACTTCACCCTAACCCTTTCGCCACTACAGGCGACTATAGTCGCTCTCCATAAAATGCCGAAAAAATTGTATTATTAACTATAATTATTATCTTACAATTATATTCTATAATTTCAAAGTTTAATAAAAAGTTAATATGTTTAAATGTTATAAATATTTTAATTTCTGGAGTTTTTTTTTCAATAAACCAACTCAGGTTGCCGTGAAGCGTAAACGCGGCTGTTGCCGATTTTACTCGAGCGCCGTGCACATTTTTAGCACGGCGGCACGTTCAGCGAAAAAACCACGGCGGAGAAGTCCCCCGTAGCGAAAGGGTTAATTAAAGTATCTACTAATACCATTTTTTAAAATCCTATTCCTTCCGATTCTAATCCCAATCCTATATTGCCTCAGATTCTAATTTATGATAAACGATAATCGAATGGCAACAATTAGTCATTTGTATTGCACATTTAAATTTACTGCAAGAGATTCTTCTCCATAAGAGAACTCTTCGGTGAAATTAATGCAGAAATGTGTACAATATTCAAACGGAGCACATATGTAAAAGCGAGGTCAAACTGATGTGTTTTTTTTTGGACTTTCGATTCCAAATGAACGTAATATTAGACCTTGTCGACGTTAAACTGACGAAAAACACACGTTCTAATGTCCGTGGTATAAACATACCTGTATAAAAACGTGGGGTGAACATTAACATTCACATTGGATAAACGTCAAATTTACAGAAACTTCGTAATAGCAACGGTCCGTAAGCGAAATCGCTAGAAATATTAACTTTACGTCAAGTTGACATGAACTTTATGATCTATTGGGTTATCGGAAAAGTCATGACGCACTTTTTCTAGGCTATCTGTTACGAAAATACGTCGTGATTTTTCTGACAACCCAATAGAGACCCTCCAAGAAACGCTAAGTGTTATGAACGGAATGTAAATTTGGGGTAAACTGAATGTCAAGAATGAAAAAGTGGATGTATCCAAATCCACGGAATTTCGCATGCAAATTAAAATGGAATTAATTATAAAGGAAAATTGAAATACACGAGAACATTCAAGTACTTTATTAATTTACACATTTATTCAATTACTTTGTACATGAAAGAAATACGGGATATCTTACTGTTCACTACCTTTTAGAGGAGACAGGCCCTAATTGTTAAGGTGAAGTGAAACACGTCGAGGAACTTGATCGACGTCGATAAAGAAGATTTTTCTAAATGCCTACGTTGCCGACGTTCGTTTTTATATTGGCAGCTGTTTCGAATTATATTGGGTATTGTATCAAATGGCATACTCCACCTGTCGTTTTCGTACAATAATTATAAAGAAATCGAAGTAAAACTCCAGAAATCCTCTGGATTCGTGCTTTCTAGGGCCCTAATTGACTGCAGAGGGACCCCCTGCGCCATCTGTGATTTCCAGGTCAATTAAATTTTCACTGCGAGACCTCGTATTACCATCGTTTTAGCAGAAAAGCGTATACAACACTTTTTTTGCCCTGACGTTAAATGACGTTCGTTTAATGCACAGTTGACCCAAAATTTACTTTCCACGCGAAAGAAAATAATTTCATTACAATTATTGTAGTGACATCGTTAAAATACTGTGATAAGTGAAACCACACAAATGGTGGAATTGACCACACAAAATGGTAAATGTGACATTGTCAGTAGGTACTGTATTCATGGTGCTGCGTTTAAACGGTGCAGTAATGATCAATATTTGGAATGGTAATATTAACTACACGAAGAGGTTATAATAAGCACAGTAAAATAGAATGTTTATTTGGTAGCTGTAACCACAATTATAGTAAGATTTTACAGTTTGCCAGGTTAGTCTAGACTTGCCTATGCGGTTGCAGAAACAATGGTTTGACACCATTACTTTCAATGGGACCGTCAAATGGCCACTCTTCTCGCATGTAATGCAGACAGCTTATTTGCATAAGACGTCTCGTTAGTATCTTTACGTTTAAGTTACAATGACTAACCTCTTCCTAATAAAGAGGAAAAGTGATGTGACCATCGAGTAACTATAAATTTGAGCATCAAATGATATTTTACTAGTAGTAACTTAAGGTAGAAATGCATGAAAACACTGAAACATAAGTATGACGTACGTAATCACAAAAATTGAATTTTTTATGGCGACGGTAAATTTCTAAATGAACAACTACGCATAATGTTTGAGCAACTCGTTTTTTGCAATTACCTTGACCAAATGGTGAAGTAACCCTTACTATGTTCTTTTTTCTATGTTACGCTGGTTATTACAACCTCCTATCAATATTGTCCCGTATGTTGTTTTGCAATAGGGTTACGATTACCACAATTGTGGTTTTCCTAACCATTCTTTTTTTCCCGTGCGTTTGTAACACGTTTCTTGGACGTTTTTTTCATCGCAAAGTTTACGTTAACTTGACATAAAGTTAATATTCGGGGCGATATCATTTACGGACCGCATGTCAATTTGACGTTGCTTTTTACATATGTGCTCCATTGAGGTATATGTGAAAATTGTAATGCTTATACATAATAGCAAATCTCTGATGGAAAAATATGGAATAACCTTTTTAAGTGAATTCAACGATTTTTATGACGGGACTTTGCAAAAAATAATTAATAGATTTTTAATTTGTAGGAACTACTTTGTATCACTCGCATACAAATATTTCTACTAGAAACAATGTGAAAATGAGTCTTGTTTCAGGATTTCAGGTTTAAACGTAGAAGGTCTTATATTTTTTTTCCGAAGTGAGACGCAAATTTGTATGTTTGATATTTCCTGATTAACTGTTTAATTTGTATGCCATTATTTATTCGTACGAAGAACATAAAAAAAACAGAAAATAATACTCTTCGTTTATTTAAAGACCACCGCTTAAGAAAAACATTAAAGGATTATAATTTATATCATATAATATGTCACATCTCATTGTGTAATATTATTTTGCTCATTATTTTCTTTAAACTGTAAGAAATAATATCTAATTTATTTAAATAAACCAGGCAATTTAATCTGTTCTTCAAATTTCGAATATTTTTTTATATCAGACGTTAGAATTAATACAATTTCCACATTTTTAGGTCTACACCAAATTGCACTTAATCGATAATTTGCATCAGATGCAACATGATTGTTGTTGCATTTTGTAGATTCAATCGAATTTCCCATTGATAATAAAACTTTAATAACACAATATAATTGCTAGGCATTTGTAGAAAAAATACACCATAATCGATTTATTTTTTCCTATAAGAATTGTTCTCGGCATATCTTACTATACATTCATATCTATCCGTGAGATCTAAAAAGCTAAAATTTATATTTTGTGGAATGAGTACAATAGTGTACTCATAATATCTAACCTATGGAATTCTCAACAAGTCTATGGAATTTGTAGGTATTTTGGAAACAGCACCCGTTCCTCCTAGAGTTGTACACTTTGGAAGTATTAATCGAAAATTTCAACGTAAAAGTTGCAGTTATCATTTAATAAAAAGTCTCCACCATTCCTAAGAATTTTGAACACTTTATTTCCCATATCTCGTGTATCGCATTTAGAAAAAACTATGCATATTCATTATTTTGAATTTGGAGACAAGTACTTCTCAAGTGTAAATACAATATTTTTAATCCGTAAGAAATTTAAACACTAACAGCTGCTAAGGAAATTGATATTAATATTGAATTGAAGTTTAGGGAGAGACTCAATCTGACTGACTGCAAGTCTGTGAAATCGACCATAAAACATTCAAAATAATATTGCACTTTCATAGACTTACACAACTAGTGCAACCCTAATTGCTATTTATTCCGATGACCATTAATATACTTCTAAAAAATCTTCAACTACATGACATGTTCTGCGTAATCTAGTAGTACAACGATATACAAAATATCCGATTTATTTAGAATTCAGATCCAAGTTATATAATATATGTCAAGTAGTGGTTCGTCGTTGACAGAAAGAAATGTTAACACCTTTCGAAGGCACATTGGATTCGTTATTCGATACAGAAAAACGGTTATGATTTGCATACACTTAAATATTTCTGTTGGATACGTGTCGATTTCTTACAAGGCGCAATAGGTACGTACAAATTGTCAAGTGTATTCTTATTCGTCGCAATCTCGGTAAAAATGCAGAGTAAATTCCAAGTAATCGTCGCCGTGTCTGTTTTTGCAGATATTCTGAAATAAAATTATGACATTAACAAACATTTGCAATTCGTTAGTATACCGCGTCCTTCTTCGATTAACAAGTGTTATTTTTATTTAACCATCTCATTTCTTATCTTCTCAGAAAAGTGTATTGTGCATCTAGGAGAGAAAGTAGGCATTTAAGGTGAAGTGAAACACGTCGAGGAACTTGATCGACGTCGATAAAGAAGATTTTTCTAAATGCCTACGTTGCCGACGTTCGTTTTTATATTGGCAGCTGTTTCGAATTATATTGGGTATTGTACCAAATGGCATACTCCACCTGTCGTTTTCGTACAATAATTATAAAGAAATCGAAGTAAAACTCCAGAAATCCTCTGGATTCGTGCTTTCTAGGGCCCTAATTGACTGCAGAGGGACCCCCTGCGCCATCTGTGATTTCCATGTCAACTAAATTTTCACTGCGAGACCTCGTATTCGCATTGTTTTAGCAAAGAAGCTCATAAGACCCTTTTTTTGCCTTTATCCCGTTCAAATGCGAATTTATTGATTACCAGAGTGTTCCAAATTGTCGTAAAATTGTCCTGACCCTTTCGATTCTCATATCAGAGCCTTCGATAATTGTATATCGATCGAAATATGAGAGCTCAACGCCATTTTGGTTCTGGTCTGGGCTAAGTTAAAAAATTTTTTTCAAAAATCCAAATTTTTAATGCGTCAGGACAATTCTTAGATGATCACAAGTTATGTGTCAAAGTTTCAGTTTGATCCAATACCCTTAAAAAGAAGTGCTTTATTCGTATCAACTGATTTGAAGGGGGTTTCACTTCACCTTTACGAATTGAATTATAAAATATTAAACAAATTACATATTTCCATATTATTTATAAAGAAATTATTTTCACTACTGATATGCATCTGTTTGTGTGCTCATTTGTCTGTTCACCTCACAAGTTGAGATCAGATCGGTTCTTGGATCCTGGACTTAAAGGTTTTCGGTTGTAAGGAAAACGCGTGTCTTAGCAATTTTTTAGTCCGAACGCTTTGAACTTAGCCTATCTGAAATTTCTCATGAAATATAAAAAATATACGTAACAGACCCGGGAAACACCGAGAAGGGTAAGGATAGGGTAAGGGGCCTTGATACTGACCAGGTCGGTAACAGCGGTACCTATTTAGAAGCACTTGTATTCTCTGGTAAGCGATTCAAATTTGGAAGTCAGCTCGTGTACACGCCTGCTTACGTATATAGAAGTTATGCAAGTCGACTTGAAATCTACCTGGAAATTATTTCTGCAAGTTGCGAACAAATTCGTATGTGTTATAAAATGTAAAGTTTATTAAATAAATGATTACTTTCCTTTACATGTTTCATTTATGTATAAAATAGTCAAAGATTTTAAGCTTCCGCGGTGAAAATTGTTCCTTAAATTTGTAGTGGCTTTCGGGAATGACAAATTTAAATAAAAAATACTGTAATTTAGAAAAATAAAAGGATTTAAATACTCTGCACAAAATGACGTAGGCCCACTAGCGCTACGGTGGTTTGCTCCGGAACTACTGGAATAATTTGAGGGAGGGGATATAAGGGAGTCGCCAGTCTATAAGTATCTCTTGTCTATGACTGAGTGTCCAGAGCTGTCGGGGAGCAGGGGGGTAGAGTTCTAAATCCAGTAAGTTACGTCAGAAACGAAGAGAAATTCCAGGTAACTTATCGGTAACTTATCGGTAACTTCTCCAAAGCCTTTTTTATCGAGAAATTATGAGCATTTGAATTTTTCAACAGAGCGAACGAGAGGTTTCGATTACCTATAAAGAAACATCGTAGAGGGGAATTTCCGTTGTACGTTCTCCGTAGCCAATCAAAACCTCCCATTCGCTTCGTCGCAGAATGAAATATCAGTTCGTTTGAAACAAATCGCATGGAATTTTCCGTGAAGTTGTACATACGTGAATATTTTTAGCTGGAGGTAAATACGACCCTATAATCAATATTTTCTAATAGTAATTATTACTCTTTAGCTTGAACTTTGAAGTTGATTGAAAAAAAAAAGTTATTTAAACGAAGAAACCTAAAGTATAAATAACAAAATTAGCGTTCTCTTAAATTCTGAATGTTCCCGGTAACTTACGGTATGTTTCACAGTTACCTTCTCCAATTTAATGTTACCGAGAATTTTCGAACTCTACAGGGGGGTGACACTCCTTATGGGAGGAGTGTAACGCTGAAGTTAGTTCACCTACTCCAAGCAAAGACTGCGCTGGTGTCGTGACTTTTCACTCTAATAGAAAAAGAACAACAGAGAAAAAAATATTCTAACCAATAGCAAGAGACTCCAGGAGGCGCAGCGTAGATGCGCATGAAAATAGTCGGGACAAGTGAACCAAAGTGAACCTAACCTCGATTAGTGACAATATTTTTACAAGTTTCGATTACCTCGGGTATTAAATCTCGAACGTGAGTTTGTGTAAATCTATAGATCGCATTTAATCCATGAAACTAATTATAACAAAAATTAAATTTTTATAGAATTTGTATAACGAAAAATATCTATACGTTCATAATGATTAATATTTTTATCTTAATAAATATTTTACTTGTTAACTAATGTTTAATGTAATTATTTCAGTTCTTACAGTGATTTAAAACAGGCGTTGCGCCACTGACACTTTTGTTACTTCTTTTATCTTTAATATACTGTTTTCTTACATTTGTGTGTCAGTTTAAGCAACGTCTGTTTTAATCATTGTAAGTACTTTTTAAATCCCGAAAACATCCCTTCGTTTAGTAAATGAATTTGAATAGCCCGCCAAATATTTTAGTTCGCGAAGAAGGTTTACTCCAACTGAAGATGGCGGTAGTGCATAAAGCGTTACACCCCAATACATGGCAGTGTCACCCCCCTGGTCGATGGGTTGTGATGTCGCGAGGAGGCCCCCCGATGCGGTTCGAGGGGGGCATTTATGGAGAGGACCCGAAAAAGACGAGCATAATGTCTTGGCCAGGGGGCCACGGTAGTCGTCGCGGTGGCGAAGACGGCGTGGGTCCATGCCTCTTTGACCTTGCGGCCCCTTCTCGATCGAACCCTCCATAGGTTCCTCGAGGAGATAACCTCGACAGAAAGGGGGAAGGAGGACGAAGGGGAGGGTAGAGGTCAGTCCGGCGAGTGCGAGAGAAAGAAGAGGCTCGTGGCCCAGCTCGAGAAGTTGAAGTGAGGAAAGGGTGAGGGTTACAAAAGCACTCCCGATATCTACGGTAGGTAAAACTGTATGTATTCCGTTTTAGACCGATACAAATTCCAGCAGAGCCTCCGTCAGCGCTGACACTGGTTCGGTAAAGACTGACTTTTGGGTCCCGAAAAACCCGTATTTATACTAAAATATCCTGTGATTATCTTACTTTAACTTTGTCCCTTAACCGTTTTAGTGGCAGGGGTTTTTAAAAATCCGTGTCGGATTGTGCCATGAAGCGCGATAGCGTTGCGAATTGACGATCGGGACCAAACATCGCGACACAGTTCACCACAGTACGCGAAAAGCGCGATCGCGCTGCGTGGCACTAAAATGGTTAAGGGGAACTTCTATACAATTGGCAAGGCCACGTCGGGTTTTCTCGTCTCAATTGGCGCGCTCCGTAGAATTTTTTCAAGGCATAGAAGCCCCGGGACTGGCATACCGACGTTGCCACTGCGTCGGTGCTTTTCGATCTGATTAATCCTGTGATCACCCGTCCCTCGTGGGATGGAAAAAGTTTGGAGAAGGAACGGAAATTTAAGGTGAAGTGAAACACGTTGAGGAACTTGATCAACGTCGATAAAGAAGATTTTTCTAAATGCCTACGTTGCCGACGTTCGTTTTTATATCGACAGCTATACCGAATTATATTGCGTATTGTCCAAAATGGCATACTCCACCTGTCGTCTTCGTACAATAATTATAAAGAAATCGAAGTAAAACTCCAGAAATCCTCTGGATTCATGCCTTCTGGGGCCCTAATTGACTGCAGTGGTACCCCCTGCGCCATCTGTGATTTCCAGGTCAATTAAATTTTCATTCCAAGACCTCGTGTTACCATCTTTTTGGCATAGAAGCGCATACAACACTTTTTTTGCTTTTATCCCGTTCAAATGCGAGTTTATCGATTACCAGAGTGTTCTAAATTGTCGTAAAATTGTCCTCTATAATTGTATATATCTATAATTGCCTTCAATAATTGTATATATCTATAATTGCCTTCTATAATTGTATATTGATCGAAATATGAGAGCTCGACGCCATTTTGGTTCTGGTCTGGACTAAGTTAAAAAATTAATTTGAAAAATCCAAATTTTGAATGTGTCAGGACAATTCTTAGATGATCAGGAGTGATGTGTCAAAGTTTCGGACGGTTTGGTCTAATACCCTTAAAAAAAAGTGTTGTATTCGAATCGACTGATTTGAAGGATGTTTCACTTCACCTTAATTGGACAGATGAGAGTGTAGGGTCGATGCCCGATCTAGGCCCGTGGGCAGCCTTCCTTCGGATCGCGTTTTAGGGCGCCCAATGGGGCGCCGGAGAGTCGCGTTTCTTGTCCCAGATCGCGAGATTTGAGGACGTGCGGGGCACAAATCTCACGGTCGAGTTATTATCATTTTTCCGTTTTTTTCTTGTCGTGGCTCAAGGATCAAACGCCGGGCAAACGGGTCTGGTACGCCGACACACGTGCGACCGGACCGAAGGGCCATGTCCACCAAGTGAGAGCTCGGGGTGCCTACCCAGGCACCGCGCAACGTGGAATATCCGTAAATTAATCGTATATAAATGTTCATTGAACGTATGTAAGATATATATGTGCCCATAATTATGAAAGTGGTCTAAGTCATATATTTTTTGTTTCGATTAAATTACATTGAATTAATTTAGTTTAAAATAATGTGGCGTGAAATAACTGATAAACTCATTTTTTTTTTTAATTTTGACTTAGACCACTTTCATAATTATGGGCACATATATATCTATGAACTCTATTTTAGATACACTCAAAGGCTAGATGTCCGGATATGATACGTTAGATGATACGTCGTAGATGGTTAATCCACGTCTATAGATATTCATATGTATTTGTAAAAAAAAATGAAATTCATAACACCTTTTGAGCCGAGTCTGTTTGAGAACTTGTTCAGTACAGGTATGCAGACATATCCTGCTACTCTTGACACAGAAAAAATTTTTTGTAATTGTCAGGATTTGAACCCGAGACTCACGGGTAGAAAGCAAAAACGTTAACTATGATACTACTGAAGCCTATGAAGGAATAAATATTTTTCGGATTTATGAAGCTCGCTCCCGTACTTTGCGATCGGTGCTAAAGATATTTATTGCATCTTGTTGTAACCTTATTCTTAAAAAAAACTTGTAAGTGATTGTAAAATTAAGTCATTTAAAAAATTGTAACGGTATGTTATTCAATCATCTTATTATTTAAAAGTGTTTAATGAATGTATACCGATTCACTTTAAAGATATTAAATTCGTAATTTTAGTACAACCTAATATACTAAAAGTGCATGAATTGTATGAAAACTATATAAAGATACTTCATTTAAATGTGCGCAACTTTTTGCAGTGTAACTACATTTTTATAAGTCTGTGGAAGCTGAATATAAAGTATTCATCTGAATGCAAACTATCAATTTAACATTTTCTAATAGTTTAGATTTCTATATAAGTTATGTATACTTCTATGATATACGTACGGAAATTATAGGCGTGAAACAGATTTACATATATATTCATGGGATATTTTTATTATGCATACCATAGATGATGTAAGTTTTCTATACTTATGTCCTAATTTGTACGTCCACTATAAGTATATTATACTTCATACGATGCCTGGTAATACATCATAATTTACGTAGTGCTAAAAAATCATGATGTATGGTCACCAGTCAAACAGGAAGTAAATAAAAGATCAGAGTATGCGCCAAATTAACAGTTTTATCAAGTTGATATTTAGATATAAACATTAAGTATGTATGAAAAATGTTACGTTACATGATTTTTTAATTTTTCTAAACGTTTTTCCAACGATGTTGATTAACCTTTGGTATGTGTCTACTAGACCTATTATATATTTTGTATGCGTCAAGAAATAAGTAGATATTTGTAGATCAATTGCGGATATATAATTTTCATCGACAATAGACATAGATATTTATGTGTATCGTATAGATATTTAAGATATATATTCTAGAGCCATATACCTAAATTAGATCTACATACTTACAAAAGATATTTTTTTTAGGTGGATGATATGCGTTATACATTTGCTCTACCTATAGACCTAATTTAGACGTATATTCCACTTCATGGGTTGCCTGAGTACTCTCTTTTTTAGATGGATGATAGAAGATGTACATTTGCTCTACCTATAGACCTAATTTAGACGGTTAATTTACGTATATTCCACTTCACGGGTTGCCTGAGTACTCTCTTTTTTAGATGGATGATAGAAGATGTACATTTGCTCTACCTACAGACTTAATTTAGACGGTTAATTTACGTATATTCCACTTCATGGGTTGCCTGAGTACTCTCTTTTGTAGTGGACGGACGGGTCCCGATCGTGAGGTTGGCTGGCGGGGCTCAACCAAGGAAATGAATGAGATGAACCGAGGATTGGGTCCGACGATGATGACGCCTCGACGCCCTCGGTTAAGCGCCGTGGCTCTTTATTAAATAATGGTTAAATAGAAGGAAAGCGCACGACTCCTTCGGAGCACTTTGGGTCGTCAGGACCGAGAGGTTGGAATTTTTAGGGTTTTTAGAAAAATCCCGCTAGACTCAGCGATGCAAACGTGCAACAATAGATCATGGAATGCGTGGCAGGGGACTTCATCGATATCAAGCAAAACTCGGGCATAGACTGATTCACACGTTGGCGATATGTTACTATTGCCAACGTGGTAAACCACTATCTGGCAATAAATATGGTATCATCATTGTAAAGTGACGATCGGTATCGTCGATAACGTAGACTCATTTGCGAAAAGATTCGTACAATATCGAAAGAAGAACAACGAACGATTCAGCCTACTGATTTGTGTATCAAGGCCCCTTAACAACTTGTTTTTGCAACAATCTATGTGGAGCATACGTACGAAAAGGAATGTGTTTTTGAACAATTTACCTCTTGCGGCTGCACGACGGGCACCCGAAACCTTAACGTTCTTCTCAAGTAATGAGCAACATCTAGTGAAAAGGATTGGGCGCCGGGTGTATTAGTATTTTGCATACGATGAATTTGTTGCTGCGTAGTGTAAGCCCATCCACACAACATAGATTCATCGGCAGCTGCATTGGGAGGCATAGGACATTGCTGTACAGTCTGCCAGTACCACGGCAACCCACTGTGTTAATAAAAAATATCTTTGTTCATGAAACTGAAATGTTTATTGTAATTTTCTTTTGTGAGAACCTACACACCAAACATACTATGTTACAGTTACATAAAACTGGAATCACATGATATATAACGAATGTCATTCAAAAGATACATTAATATCATATAACGTCGAATTATTACCGTTCGGTAACATTGTTACAAACGTATATGCATTGCAGTTATATAATATTAACATAACATATAACATGTTACCGATATGTTATGCTACAAATGTTATGCAATGGTTATATTATTATGTCAGCGTGTATGGTGGGTAAAATAGCAAACAGGCTTTTAAGTTTGATTCGTTTATTATATTGACGGTTCCCGAGATATATTCATGAAATTGAATTATAACAATGTTATTTTACTACATTTGTTCAAAACTATTATTTGATATTTCATTGAAGGACTGTTACAGCTAGTGATGAAAAATAAGATCCCTACCCATCAAACGCGAAAACATATAAGTAAGATTTGCATTACTATTTCCTCTGCAACCATATAATACTGTTATAAAACGAATACTGTAACGTATACATAACATGTCGGTAACATCTTATGTTATGTTAATATGATATAATTGCAATGCTTACAAGTGTGTAACAATGTTACCGAACGGTAATAATTCAACGTTACGTGATATTAATGTATCTTTTGAATAACATTCGTTATTCATTATGTTATTCCAGTGTTATGTAACTGTAACATAGGGTGTCTGGGGGGTACGAGCCATTTAAGTGTATGTAATAACCAAAACATTTATGCTTAGCGTATGTTAAATTAAGATTCAAAGTAGGTTTTAAATTTACATCGATCTTAGAAGGTTTGTCTTGGATACTTACGTGAAATGTAATGTAAGTTGCGTATCAGGCATGTGTTTCGACAAAGGTATAATACATGTAAAGTTGTTCGGGATATTTGGTGATGTCAGCGAACAATATCTTTGGTCTAATGATGCATTGAAATTTCTTGTTCCAATGTATAATTGTGGTCTTGGTTCTGGAGACAGCGAGCCTGCAGCATTGCTGGCGACTTCACCCCAATCGGCACTGCCACTAGCTTCTCTTCTTGTTCTTTTATGTAAGTATTTGTAATTTGTCTGTAACCAACAATATCACCTTTAGTCAGTTTCTTAGTACTTTCTCAAATGTGATAACAGATCATTTTCGACATTAACATTATTTCCTAACCATAGTAAATAAATGTAATAAAATGTTTTTAGGGGCAACACCACGATGGAAATTTACGGACATCTAATTTTTTTGTTAGCATAATTGGTAGTTGTCATTGCAAAGACAATATCCCAATAACTTCAATAGAAAATCTTGATTGTTTAACAAGGTTAGATTAAAGATAAAGGGTGCATCCGGATTTGCAAAAATGCCCCTACACCAAATTTAACTTTGCTTAAGGTGAAGTGAAACGTCCTTCAAATCAGTCGATTCGAATACAACACTTTTTTTTAAGGGTATTAGACCAAACTGTCCGAAACTTTGGCACATCACTCCTGATCATCTAAGAATTGTCCTGACACATTCAAAATTTTGATTTTTCAATAAAATTTTTTAAGTTAGTCCAGACCAGAACCAAAATGGCGTCGAGCTCTCATATTTCGATCAATATACAATTATCGAAGGCTCTGATATGAGAATCGAAAGGGTCAGGACAATTTTACGACAATTTAGAACACTCTGGTAATCGATAAACTCGCATTTGAACGGGATAAAGGCAAAAAAAGTGTTGTATGCGCGTCTTTGCTAAACCGATGAAAATACGAGGTCTCGGAGTGAAAATTTAATTCACCTGGAAATCACAGATGGCGCAGGGTGTCCCTCCGCAGTCAATTAGTGCCCCAGAAGGCACGAATTCAGAGGATTTCTAGAGTTTTACTTCGATTTCTTTATAATTATTGTACGAAAACGACAGGTGGAGTATGCCATTTGGGACAATACGCAATATAATTCGGTATAGTTGTCGATATAAAAACGAACGTCGGCAACGTAGGCATTTAGAAAAATCTTCCTTATCGACGTTGATCAAGTTCCTCAACGTGTTTCACTTCACCTTAAGGTGAAAGTGGCATCAGAGAGGTCTCGTTTATGAAACTTTTCTCCGAACTGGGTGTATCGAATTGTTTCAAACTTTACAACGTGAATATGAAGGTCAAAAGGAACGTTCTGACACCCATGAAATTTCAATTTTTTTAAATTTGTTTATAAATATTGTCAATTGTTTTTATAAGGAATGAAATTTCATGAGTGTCAGGACCTTCCTTATAGCCTCCACATTCACATTATCAAGTATGAAACGATTCGGTACACCAAGTTTGGAGAAAAGTTTTATGAACGATTGATCCCTCGGATGGCACATTCACATCCTCTTAAGGTGAAGTGAAACACGTCGAGGAACTTGATCAATGTCGATAAAGAAGATTTTTCTAAATGCCTACGTTGCCGACGTTCGTCTTTATATTGACAGCTGTGTCGAATTACATTGAATATTGTACGAAATGGCATACTACATCTGTCATTTTCGTATAATAAATATCAAGAAATCGAAGTAAAACTCCAGAAATCCTCTGGATTCAAGCTTTCTGGGGCCCTAATTGACTGCAGCAGGACCCCCTGCGCCATCTGTGATTTCCAGATCAATTAAATTGTCACCCCGAGACCTCGTATTCCCATCGTTTTAGCATAGAAGCGCATAGAACACTTTTTTTGCCTTTGTCCCGTTCAAATGCAAGTTTATCGATTACCAGAGGGTTCTAAATTGTCGTAAAATTGTCCTGACTCTTTCGATTCTCATATCAGAGCCTTCGATGATTGTATATTGATCGAAATATGAGAGCTCGACGCCATTTTGGTTCTGGTCTTGGTTCAGTTAAAAAATTTTGTTGAAAATTCCAAATTTTCAATGTGTCAGGACAATTCTTAGATGATCAGGAGTGATGCGTCGATGTTTCGGACAGTTTGGTCTAGTACCCTTAAAAAAAAGTGTTGCATTCGAATCGACTGATTTGAAGGGTGTTCCACTTCACCTTAAGGTGGAGTGAAACCCCCTTAAATCAGTCGATTCGAATAAGACACGTTTTCTAAGGGTATTTCATACGACGAACTGTCCGAACTGTCCGAAACTTTGACACATTACTCATGATTATCTAAGAATTATTCTGACACTTTCAAAACCTAGATTTTAAAAAAACATTTATTTACTTAGCCCACACTAGAACCAAAATGGCGTCGAGCTCTCATATTTCGATCAATATCCAATTAATGAAGGCTCTAATATGAGAAGCAAAAGTCTCAGGACAATGGTGCAACAATTTAGAACGCGCAGGTGATCGAGAAACTCGCATTTGAACGGGATGAAGGTAAAACAATGTGTCTTATGCGCTAACGTGCTAAAACGATGGTAATTTAGTTGTCCCGGAAATCACAGATGGCGCAGGGTGTCCCAATTAGACCCTCGGAAACTATGAATTCAGAGGATTTCTGGATTTTTATTTCGATTCTTTATAATTGTTGTATGAAAACGATAAGTGGAGTATGCTATTTAGTACAATATCCAATATAATTCGACACAGCGGTCAATATAAAAACGAACGTCGACAACGTAGATATTTAGAACATTCTTTTTTACCGACGTCGATCAAATTCCTCGACGTGTTTCACTTCACCTTAAGGTTGTCGTGATCGTTATCAGAATCGCAAATGCTTGACTCATTACTGTTTTTGATGGTTGGACTTTAGATAATATTCTATTTTTCTGTTTGACATAACTTACCTCTTTTACTAGAGTCTGTATACTGGGATCAGATGGACTAATTCCGTTTTGGAAGCCCTTGCTTAATTTACGTTTTTCATCGTGGACATTTAATGGTTGTTCCAGATGATCTACTAAAAGTAACAATACAAATTTATTTTAATAGTCATTTACCAAAAGAAATATTACTTAAAGAACTCCAGAGAATGATCAATTAATAAACTGTAAATGTTTATTTAAAGTACATCCAAGAGACATTATTCATAAATCAAGAAAGGATCGACTGCTTAAATATAAAAATGCTTTAATCTCTATATTCTTTAAGTAGAATTGCTCATTCGACATGTAGTTGTGCATCTGTTGATTATTATAGTGTACAAATGATCACATCAAAATTATTTTAAAATAAGTTTCGAAGATCTTATAGGTATTAGTCTTTATATTTTAACGGCGTTTACCACGAAAGTGGGGACGATGACTTCCACCGCTGGATGGCATTAGCATCGAATTCTGTGGGAGGTAATGAAAACGCACTTTCTCGCTCGGATGAGGAAGACGCAACACAATGGACGGTGTTTAGCAACGGGCGAAAAATGTGTACGTATTTTGTACGTATAAGGCTCACAACGGCTAGACGCTTCTGGACTTGATCGTATTTTTATCGTATTTCTCAACCGATCGAGTTCAACGAGTGCTCAACGGGTAGCGTTTGATTATAGTGCACAAATGATCACAAAAATTATTTTAATATAAGTTTCGAAGATCTTATAGGTATTACTCTTTATATTTTAACGGCGTTTACCACGAAAGTGGGGACCATGACTTCCACCGCTAGATGGCATTAGCATCGAATTCTGTGGAAGGTAATCAAAACGCATTTTCTCGCTCGGATGAGGAAGACGCGACGCACAATGGACGGTGTTTAGCAACGGGCGAAAAATGTGTACGTATTTTGTACGTATAAGACTCACACAACGGCTAGACGCTTCTAGACTTGATCGTATTTTGATCGTATTTCTCAACCGATCGAGTTCAACGAGTGTTCAACGGGTAGCGGAAACAGTTTTGATGTTTCTCGCTTCTTGGAAGCTTAGTATCGAAAATGAAGAGTATCAGGACCTAGCTCGAAGAATTTAAAATACCGTAGAAATAGAATATTACAGAGTTAGATGGGAAAATATGGAAAATACTTTCACCAACGATTGCAAGAGGCTTGTCCTGTGGGTAACACGTGTTTTTAGAACAAAAATTTAATTCCAGCTAAACGGGACAGATGGCGCCGTTGGTCTGTTAGAATATAAATAGTTACGAATTCATGGGATATCGACAGTTTTGCATTGACCGCTTTATTACTTCACCGAAATGATATGTGGATCGCTTCATTTCGTATAATTCTCAACGTAGAATGTACAAGACTTCCACATAAATATAAATGTCGGTAATGTGACGCGCCAGTTTATGTTACCACTTGAGTATCCAAAATGGCGTTACCGCCAAAAAGGCTATAGATGAATCTTAATTTGCCGACCTCGATTAAATTTCTCAGCGCCTTTCATTCATCTTAATATTATCACTTAAACATTTAAAAATAATATTTAGAAGACGTATTTGAATTGATGTCTCTTGTCTGTCGTCAAACATAATCCTATTAAGGTAAAACTATTTAACTTACACAAAGACTTCTTCTCCGGAGGGTGATCAGGATGATCTTCCAATTGATGTATATCAGTTGTACAACAGTATATCTATAAATACCAATAACGGTTAATTATCAATTCTATTTACCAAGACTAAGCTGTGATCAATATTCCATTAATCGATTGCCGTGTCAAATACTAATTTTGTTTAATTTATTCAATACATATTAATCGATAAATTCCTTACTGAAGAAATAGTATGGGAAATAATTGCCGTATTATTTTTTATTAAGGCAATGGATCAATTACGATAAAATTGTTTCATCTTCCCATTAAAATAGTGTGCCCAAACAGTTTTACATAATTTCAACCAACTTAATTCGAAAAGAAAAAATTCAAAGCGAAAAAAAATTTCTTTATAGAATTACTATGTGCATTATTCATTTCGACAGTCTGTAGAAACAGAGATGAGCAGGGAGATGTTTCACGCCATTGTCGAAAGTGAGGCACGGCTCACTAGCGCCGTGGAACTGCTTTCAAAGGAGCGAAATGTTCCCTGTCGGTAAAGAAAAGCGCGTCTGCAGAATTCAAATACAGCACAGTATCGATAGAATGAAGTTGTGGTATAAGGAAGTTAAATATCGATAGAATGAAGCTATCGCCAAGAGATAACGACGCGGCACCCTGTTTTATCGATCACGAAGATTTCGCCCCTTTTAAAGTAGTTCCAATTTTTACAGAGATGTAAAGGGCGTAGAGGGCGCCAGGGGGCCGCGCCTAAAGTTCTAAATCCAGTAAGTTACGTCAGAAACGAAGAGAAATTCCCGGTAATTTATCGGTAATTTCTTCAAAGCTTTTTTTATCGAGAAATTATGAGAATTTGAATTTTTCAACAGAGCGAACGAGAGGTTTCGATTAGCTATAGGGAAACATCGTAGAGGGGAATTTCCGTTGTACGTTCTCCGTAGCCAATGAAAAGCTCCCATTCGCTTTGTCTCAGAATGAAATATCAGTTCGTTTGAAACAAATGGCATGGAATTTTCCGTGAAGTTGTACATACGTGAATATTTTTAGCTGGAGGTAAATACGACTCTATAATCAATATTTTCTAATAGTAATTATTACTCTTTAGCTTGAACTTTGAAGTTGATTGGAAAAAGAAAAGTTATTTAAACGAAGAAACCTAAAGTATAAATAACAAAATTAACGTTCTCTTAAATTCTCAATGTTCCCGGTAACTTACGGTATGTTTCACAGTTACCTTCTCCAATTTAATGTTACCGAGAATTTTCGAACTCTAGCCGTGCCTCCCTTTGAAACAATAGCGTGAAACGTCTCCTCGCTCATCTCTGATAAAAAATTGAGAGCTTGTTATATCTCTTAAATTTCCCTATATTTTCTATAAAATAAGGAAGAAAGTTTTGGGACTCAACACAAAATTCCCAACTTTCAATGACGATAATCGGTGAATCGAAACTTTCTCACACTTACTTGACAAGGACTTTCCAGCTCTGTGAAATGTGTTGGGCAATCATCTGGCCTCCCCAAAGGAATTGGACCTTTATTAGGAGGTAGAGCGTCTACATCAGATCCTTGATCGTTTTCATCTACGTTACTCGGTACAACCCCCGCGCTGTTTCTGCTCAACCAATTGTTCGGGAACTCACTATTTGAAAAAGAGATATAGAATTTAGTAACGAACAATTAATGAGAATACCCACACCTTAAGGTGAATTGAAACCCCCCTCAAATCAGTCGATTCAAATAAAACACATTTATTTAAGGGTATTGGACAATGGATAAATATTTACAAAATATACGATATTTGTTGAATATATAAAAAATGTAGGACAAATATTTTGCGCTACCAGGGGAATGTCTAAATTGTCAAGTAATGCTCATTTTCCTATAACACCCTGGCATTACTCATTTCAATTCAAGTTAATTTATATCAGATCCGTTTAGTGTATTAAAAATTGTGGGAATATGACATTTTTAATGTCCAGTTAAACATAATTAAATATACGTTACCTATTTTTGTCAAGTTTCGACTGAGGACCCGAGTGCTGGACAGGATACCACGTTATCTCATGAGAATACAATTGTTGTTTCGTATTCGGCGATTGCGTGGAGAGAATGTCATTTTTCTTAGCAGGGTATCCATCCGATTCACTGGAATATGTCCCGAGACGTGTATAACGCGGTGGTAATGTACTATGGAGCAGCGGATTAAACCGAGGATCATAATCGGGAGTAGTTGGTGCAATTGGGACGTGAGCAGATCCTATGGCCAACATTCCGCCACCCGCTACAGCTGACCATTCCAAGTTACTCCGCTTTTGGTATTCTAGGAAATACAGCGTCGCCATTGCCACTAAGCTGAAATGGAAATTAATAAACACAATTAGAGTTGTTACATAGGTACCTTCCGTACCCTAACATAGGGAAAAACCCTATTTTTCAATCACCGGAGCTAGCCATGGAAATACGATCNGACGCGGAAGTTTATTAATCTAGAGAAATTAGGTTAAGGCACCTCGGGTGCCCTTCCAGCTGACTGTAGTTCAGACCTCGCGTACGAATAAATACAAATCTTATAGCCACATAGCCAATCGTTCGCACCCCCTTTTATTCCTCACTCCCCTAGATCCCACCAGAGGAATTGATTTAGCCGCTCGAATCAATCTCCTCACAAACTTAAAATAATCGTTACGCGCAAGATTTGGGTAATCTCAAAATAAAAATCAATACGTTAATCATTAAATATACCGCCTGGTTAAAGTGCTGATAACTTAAGATGATATGAAAGGCGCTGAGAAATTTAATCAACGTCGATACAATAAAATTCATCTATACCCTTTTTGGTGGGAATGCCGTTTTGAATACTCAAATGGTAACAAGGTGACGCGTCCCGTTATCGACATTTATATTTATGTTGAAGTCTTTTACAGTTTACGTTGAGAATTATACGAACTGAAGTGTTCCATATGTCATTTAAGGAAAGTAATGATAAAAAGATCGACGTAAAATTGTCGAAATCCTGTGAATTCATGACTGTTTATATGTTGACGGACCAACGTCGCCATCTATGACGATTAGCTGCTACTAAATGATTCCTCTAAAAACACGTGTTAGCCCCGGGGCAAGCCAGTATTCTTTTGCAATCGCCGGTGAAAGTACGGTTGAATGTTTTAATATTTTTCATTGTAAATTTGTAAGAATTAGAAAAACGTTTTTATCTAGAAAATTTTCTGTAAATTTCGATATTTAATTTCATATGTGTTTAGTTCAAAATCAACATTTGCGACACATTTAACGTTTTATTTTAATGTCAGTAGAATGTAATAATTACCAGAAGGCCATTATGAGGATGAGAACGACGATGATGATTTGAATAAACTTATTACTGCACAGTAATTCTTCGTCTCTGTCTGGTCTCTTCGATCTTTCAGATATGCCAGACTTTGCATTGGATGCGTATTTACTGTTTGAAATACTGGAAACAGTACTTATAGAACTTTTGAGACTGTCGCCTCTTTTCAGCTTGGCCAATCTTTTGTTAATCCTCTCAAGCTGATCTATTCGAGTTTCTAAACTATCAGTCACCTAGAAAATTATAATAAATTAGTTGTACATATTTATTCGAACTGTTATCATCCAAAATTGAAAACAGTACGAATACAAAGAGTCGGAATTCGAAATAGAGAATATCTAAATATAAATATTTGTTAAAAAATATACAAACAGGTCTTCTTGTCACATATGAGTCTTTATAGCGCTTAAATAAGTTCTCGTATTGAAAACGAGTGTGAACAATATGACACGAAGTCGATTAAACTATTTTAGAAAATCCGTGGAAAGTGATGGGGAACGATAGAGAAATCCGTACAAATCCGTATAACCTAAATACATGTGAGACATAAGAGAGACAAACTCGTTTTGCGCCGAGCTGCGGCAAATGGCATCATTACAAATATCAAAACTTATATAATCATAAACCATAAAGCATTTAATTAATCTATCCTAATGTACAGCTCAGAATTATAGTTGCTTGAAGCGAACTCTGACACATGATGAGACCAGGTTAAGTACACCGATTAATTTAAATATAACTGGAACAATATTTCTATAGCGACACATTCCAGTCTCACAAGGAAGGTACCTGAGGTGTCCCCCTCCGATTTTGTTCATTTTTAAATATGTTATAGCGGACTAAAATCTAAGGGACTTGTGTTTTTTTTTATCGGCGGATAAACATTCTTAGGGGGTGAAATCAGGCTTCAAGGTTAGCCGTGCAAGGGGGTGAGTTGGCTGTTTCATATAGAAGCACTCGACCGATTTTCATGAAACAGCTGTCAAAATGTAGGGAATGAAGAATTATGAATCATGCATTTAGAATTTTTCAAACAAATTCATTTTTAAGGGGTGAGTCACCCCTTTGAATATTTCTATTACCCCTTACGCGAGTAGTAATTGTTCTATCCATATGAAACTTGGTTAATTTATTGACCAGAACAATACAAAAAAAGTTTCATTTGGATGGAACAATTACTGCTCGCGTAAGGGGTAAAAGAAGTATTCAAAGGGGTGGCTTACCCCTTAAAAATGAATTTTTTCGAAAAATTCCAAATGCATGTTTCATAATTCTTCATTCCCTACATTTTGACGGTTGTTTCATGAAAATCGGACGATTGCTTCTATATGAAACAGCCAACTCACCCCCGTGCACGGCCAACTTTGAAGCCTGATTTCACCTCCTAAAAGTGTTTATCCGCCAATAAAAAAAAAACACGAGTCCCTTAGATTTTAGTCCTCTATAACATATTTAAAAATGAACAAAATCGGAGGGGGACACCTCAGGTACCTTCCTTGTCAGTACCGAGCTTACTCTATAGTGGCGCTGCAATCATTTTAACTCTATCCTGATCTTTCTTATGTCAAACAATGACCACGTCTCCATCGTACTCCTAAATCCGGGATTTATCGAGTTCAAACCCAGTAAATCCGAAATTAAAAAACTGTTTAAGTTTGGATGATGAGTTATAGCGGGATTGCCAATAAACTAATAAGGGTGCTTTTGGCCTGGGTTCTCAGCTCGAATTATGCTGGTTAATGCAACTTCCTCCCGAGGTTGTCCCGTGTGTTGCCTTGCAATAGAGTTAAGGTGAAGTGAAACCCCCTTCAAATCAGTCGATTAGAATTCAACACTTTTTTTTAAGGGTATTAGACCAAACCGTCCGAAACTTTGACACATCACTCCTGATCGCCTAAGAACTGTCCCGACACATTCAAAATTTGGATTTTTGGAAAACATTTTTTAACTTAGCCCAGACCAAAACCAAAATGACGTCGAGCCCTGATATTTCGATCAATATACAATTATCGAACGCTCTGAAATGAGGAACGAAAGGGTCAGGACAATTTTACGACAATTTGGAACACTCTGGTAATCGATAAACTTGCATTTGAACGGGATAAAGGCAAAAAAAGTGTTGTATGCGCTTCTATCCTAATACGATGGTAATACGAGGTCTCGGAGTGAAAATTTAATTGACCTGGAAATCACAGATGGCGCAGGGGGTTTACTTCGATTTCTTTATAATTATTGTACGAAAACGACAGGGGGAGTATGCCATTTGGTACAATACCCAATATAATTTAACACAGCTGTCAAAATATAAACGAACGTCGGCAACGTAGACATTTAGAAAAATCTTCTTTATCGACATTGATCAAGTTCCTCGACGTGTTTCACTTCACCTTAAGATTACCACAATTTTGGTTTGTCTAACCGTTCTTTTTTTTCCGTGTGCTTGTATGAATTTCAAGATTTGTTCACTTGTTTCAAACTCAAAATAAATCTGACTAATTCATCGAAAAGTATTAAAAATATCTAGTACCTTGCACAGTTCTTTAACCGCGCCTACATTTTCCATAAATATCCTCTCTTTATTGACCACCAGAAAGTTCTCTATTCTTTGACCATTAGGAAGGACGATGTCTCCGGCCGGCAGGACAGCCTCTGGCAAGATTTGTTGAACTTCTTGAGCGATCACTCCTGTATCTTCCTGGGGTTTGATTCCCAATCCAGAATGAAGTGCAAACTCAGGAGCATAACGGTATCGCACTACTCGTAATTGTTGTACGTTTCGCAGTTGCTCACGAGTGTCGATTTCTTGCACATTTTGTTTAGCTCTGGCATCACTAGGCTGTACAATGTGTCCCGTAACCTGGAAGTAAAGGATCCTCTAATTATATACGGAATATATGTTAAACACACAGCAAGTCATCTTTATGAATTCCGAGATAAAGGTAAACGCCGCATGTAGGGGAGACCGAGGTCAAATGTAACACTGAGCTGTTGTAATAAACGTTATAAATTATTTATTCAAACTTGAAAAAGCGGAGTTAAGCAGTAGAAACTTTCCATGGATCCTAGGAATATCTTGCGGTCGTTTTATGTTTGTTACATCAAGCGTTCTCTTGTTATTTTCATTTTTCGTGATACGGCATAGGTCAGTGATATTTTTATCGGTTCAATATTTTCGATTTATATTAAATCCGAAGTGGATAAAACTGATTTAATCATGCCACAGTATTGCACCTTCAGATGTTCCTCATATGTTTAATGTATTTGAATGTAGAGTGACTTTAAGTTGCTGTAATTGTATAAATTATTTGAAAAGAGCCATCGGGGACAATTGTAACAAGTCCGACTGCTACAAATGAAACATGGGATATTTGCTCCCGATCATCTACGTTCTCACGTATAAATTAGATACAATATAATTTTTACCGGTTTTTTTTAACATGCCGCGTATCCGCAAAAAGATGTCGAACCGAAACCAAAGTGAAAATATCATGAAACGTGTTGCAAATTTAGTTATGAATAAAAGTCGCAGGCAGAGGAGGGTAGTCAAAAATGTCGAAATTTGTAATGTGACTTCAAATACGTACGTAAAAAGCCTAAAGGAGAGGAAGAGAATGGTTATAGGGTACAAACCCCCTAACAAAGTTTTACCTCATGAAAATAAATAGACGTTTTGTGAATGTATTTGTAAATTCGCAGATTAATATTTCGGATTAGTTCCAATGTACATACGTAGCCTTATACGTCGCTAAAAGTAAAATGGGCCAAATCTGGATTCAGGGCCTCCAATGCAAGAAATGGTCTCATGAAAAGTGCATCAGTAAAATGGAAAACAAGATGGACCATTCCTACTTTTACTGTTCGAAATGTATTACCAATTAAAAATGTGACATATATATTTATTTATTTATATATGTATCCTATATAAGTAACTTTTGTTGCGATCATCCGTATTTATCAAAACATAGTTATTATCTACAGTTATTTAAGTATTCCTGTATTAATCGGCAGTGTTACATTTGCCCCAACGAGCAATACAACCGTACCTTACAACGGATGCAAATATAACAAATACATTTAGTAGAGAAAATAAAAATTGCTGATTTTTATAGGACCTTGAAGCATTCAAATGTAGGCTGTCTTTCAGGGGAAGGTTCACTTTGTATATGGACTAAGTTCTATCATAAAGAGCTGTTACAGTTAATTGTAAAAATAGAAACGTAAAAATTGTTATAATTGACCTCGATCTTCCCTACGTCCAAAATAGTATAGGATATAAATACATTTTTATTCGTACTTTGACATTCCCATGAACCACGAACGCCTCGTCTGGTCTGTCTGTGTTTATCCCGACTCGTCCTGCATGATAGACGCTATCAGGAGCTGCTCCTCTTTGCCATCCTCCTTCGGCACCAACGCCACTTCCTTCGGATTCGAATTGTCCAGGGTTGCTAGCCTAATCGAAAGAAAATTTGTTATTACAGTTCGTGTTATTGCGTTCGTAATTCGAGCTTTCGACGCGATTCTCCCCGTACAAGGCAGCGTCGGGGGTTCTGCCGGGTCGCGACCGGATTGCGTCGTAGCGCCGATCCTAAAGCCGTGGTGGTGCATGGCGCCAGGGTCCCTCGACGGAATACTCGCCGAGGTAAAATTTGCTTTTAGCTTCTGATCTCGGGGTGCTGCCGTAGTGTTCCGGTTGTCCCGAGATTCATTCGGGAAGCGTGACCTCGAGCATCTTCCGCTGCGCGGTAGTGTGATGTCCAGGTGTCCAAGGACGCCGATTGTCCCTGGGACATCTAAGTCCTTTAGGGTTCGATTGTTCCCATTGCTTCGTACCAGGCCGCGTGATGTCCAGGTGTCTAAGGGCGATTATCGTTGGGACATCTCGATCCTTTCAGGCTCCCCTGTTCCAATCGTTTCTCCCCAGGCCGCGAAAGGGACTTCCTTGGACGTGTACCGCGATTCGGGCGGTCTGTGTCGGCGACGACATGTCGCAGGTGAGTCTTCACTCTTCATTCTGGCGATGTGCCGCGAAGCCGGAACCCTCCCCGCGGGTGGGTGCGTTCTGAACCACTGTACCTGCCCGCGCCCTGCCTCTGCGGGTCTGGTTTCTGGATGCCCCAGGATGAAGCCGACGCCTGTTCATGGCTTCTGGCCTGGCAGATTGACACGATCATAAGTTATATCTCCGCTTGCTGGACTTGTACTGACTTGGGTCCCGATGCTTCTTGCCTTTCCTGCACCTATCTCGCAAGGTCTTGGTTGGTCCCTGGGTCCCTTCTGCGTGATACCCGTCACGGGCGTGGTCGCCGACGGGGTTCATCGTTGGTATCTTTGGCGAGACAGGGTGAGACGGGGTCGCAATTCTGACGTTCGGGAATTCGGGTTTGGCTAACGTTTACGATCCGACTCGATCAGCCTGAGTCCGGATTCCTCCGGCCTCCGAAAGGCAACGATGTGGGGGGGGGGGGGGGCCCCCACGCGCCCAAGAGCCATCCGTAAACCTCCTCGTGGTGGGGCTGGATGCGGATCCCTATGGATCCGTAACGAAACGGCAAATGGCTACTGGGGAACCATGAGAGATGCTCGCTCTGCGGAGTTTGACCGCACTCTTGTTCCCCCTAGAGTTACCGGCGAAAGGTGGCCCTCATCATGGGAATACTTCTCGACCGGACGGCTGGAGGTGCTCCGGGTAACCCGTCCCGTGTCCTCGGTTTATCCGGGTGCGGGTTGGGGGCCGGCCCTACCGGCCGTAATAAGAAGGCCGGCGAGCTAGTACGGGCCGATAGGTGGGATAATCGATCCTATATTTGCCGGGTCAACTCGGCCGATGGATCGGGTTCCCACCCGACCTAGCCTGGAAAGCTCGCCAAACCACGCTGGAGCATTACGTCTCAGCTGGCGCCTTGCACGAATGTTCGCACCACGCGGGTGCAGGGGAGGGACCTCCTCGAGGTTCCCCGCGGGCAACGGGTGGGGTCAAGCGGCCTCCCTTCGGGGAGTGCGTCGCGGAGGCCCTGTCCCGGCAAGCGCCTCCCCAGGGTCGATCGGTCCGGAGCATTCGGGTTTTTCCCGGCCTGTCCTGGGCCTTCGGGCCCCTTTGGCGTTGGGTCCGCCTGGTGGGGATGGTAAATAATCCCCCCAGCAATGGGGGGGCCGCTAAGTGGCCCAGAGCTACAGGCGCGGTAGGGCTTGCCCTATATCATACGAAAGTCCGGATTCCTCCGAGTCGCTCCGGGTCAATCTGGGTCCTAGCCGGTCGGTTTGCACCGATTACGTTTTTTAATGCTTGAGTGACGTCATTTTTATCCGAATAAAATGTAACGTCACAAAGAACACGAGAGCTATTCTTGCACATTGGTATATAATACATACATTTTTAATTTTATTGAAACGCAAACTCTTAAATTTCTCAATTTAAATATAAATGGACTTAGGTCATTTTGAAAATATTGAGTGTACTTTAAGCAGGAATATAAATTGATATGTTGAGAGATACAAACAGAATAAGATGTCTTACCCTTACGATGATTCGTTCAGATGCATGAGCGACCACTTGGTAGCTGGACTGGTCTGCGGTATGGGCATGCAAACCAACGACCAAATGAAAGTACCTCTGGTCAGGATTTGGTTTGCCTTTTTTCCGCATATTATTGCTCGTGGTCTCACTGAAGTGCAATCGACCCACCGTCACTTTTGTGACGCGTTCACCACCTAACTCAACCCTGAAACCAGCTCTATTTTAGCGTAACGGACGAACTGACTCAACGGGAAAAAGAAACGAATCAAATTTTGTAACAGAAGGGCCTAAAAGTTGTTTCGAACCACATTAATAACGAGGATTTTCTTGTATATCATAATATTAACTGCGTTCCATTCAAAAGGAGAAGTCGGTCATGTTCTTACTAAGGTGAAGTGAAACCCTCCTCAAATCAGTCGATTTGAATAAAACACTTTTTTTTTTAAAGAGTATTGAACCAAACCGCCTAAAACTCTGCTACATGACTCGTGAGTACCTAGGAATTATCTTGACTCTTTCAAAATTTTGATTTTCAAACAAAATTTGTTAACTTAGCCCAGACCAGAACCAACATGGCGTCGAGCTCTCATATTTCGATCAATATACAATTATTGAAGGCTCTGATATGATAAACGAAATTGTCAGGACAATTTTACGACAATTTAGAACACTCTGGTAATCGATAAACTTGCATTTGAATGGGATAAAGGCAAGAAAAGTGTCTTATGCGCTTCTATGCATAAACGATGGTAATACGAGGTCCCGGAGTGACAATTTAGTTGACGTGGACACCACAGATGGCGCAGGGGGTCCCTTTGCATTCAATTAGGACCTCGAAATTCATGAATCCAGTGGATTTCTGAGGTGTTACTTCGATTTCTTTATAATTATTGTGCGAAAACGACAGGTGGAGTGTCCCATTTAGTAAAATACCCAATATCATTCGACACAGCTGTTAATATAAAGACGAACGTCGACAACGTAGGTATTTAGAAAAATCCTTTTTACCGACGTCAATTAAGTTCCTCGACGTGTTTCACTTCACCTTAAGGGGGGTTTCAGTTCACCTTAACTACAACAATACGTCAGATTGTAATTCACTTAATGATATTTAATTATCATCACTCCATTCTATTATCGTGCAAACGCATTTTGAAATCTCGTAGAAGTCTTTGTCTAGAATCACGCGCGTAACTGCCTTATTACATAACGAATTGATTATGAGTAATGACAGAATCTCGATAAGAAAATTTAAAACAAAATAGTAGGTGTATGAACATTTGTATACAACGCGTATGTACTAGATTCTGCGTCTTTAAATATACCTCCAATGTCGGAAAAGTACGTTCAATTGATTAAAATTATTTTGTTAAGAACTTTTCAACAAACGAGCGATGGCTAAAACCTTGTGGAGGTCACTCAGGAGGATGACCTTGACAACATATGTTAAGGTTAAGGTCATCAGAGGTTGATCCCCTAAACCCCACATTTACTATATGCTGTTATAAGGTTAATATTTATTTTAACTGAAGAAATTGATACGCGTTTTCTTCTATAACAATAATTAGGTGTGATGAATCGCAGATAATAACAGCAAATTTGTTACCGAATCTTTACTTCTTTCCTGTCATGCAAAATTTAAACAATGCGTTAACTCCCATTATTAAACGTGAACATTATTAGAAAAAGGAATATAACGCGCATTTTTTTTTTTTAATTCTTCGTCATCGGATCAAAGAAAATCTAATGTATCATTTAACGTTATTTTAAACTTTGCACGCATTGAGAATTCCCTTATTTAAAATCGAATTGAAAATTCTGAATTTAGTTTCCCCTAAAAAGAAGTATTCTGTTCCCTGAAATGGTATTTTTGATGACATTCGAATTAAAGAATAATCGGACAACCTGCCAATTTGCAAAATATAATTAGGTTTAGTAAACTAAAATCCATATTAATACAGTTCAACATACGGGAGGTACTGTAATTACAAATCATTCGTTTTACAAAGATGATGCTTTTATAAAGAATAGGTATACAATTATTAATTTAAAAAACTAGTTTCGATTTTAACCTCACCAGTAATTACATGCGAAGTACATCCCTAGTAGCATAGAATAATTCATAAATATTTGTCTGTAATCTTTGCTGAAGATCTCAAGCGACATTTTTTTAAGATTTCTTGTAGATTTCACTCGAAGGTATCTGAAATATTTGTTAAAAATCTCAATGACATATTTAGTTTTAATAATTTATAAA